TTTCATGGGTAAGGTTAAGTTTTTTACGTTTTTGTATGTTCTGAACTTTTGTGCTAATCAGATAACGTTATTAATAATAATTCAGTCACTTACTGCATTCACCATAAGGCAAAGCAGCAGCAACTCACACTAAACACTCGGCTTATGCTAGTTTTGTTGAATAAAATCAGCAAACAATGCAAAAGAAATATGACAACGAGATGCTGCGCTGCCAGAAACTTGTATTATTGCCGGCTAGTGAACGAGTCGTTCATAATAGAGATTCATTCACAAACGAATCGCTCCCTCCATCAGTTTGAAAAGTGAAAGCAGTAGAGGAGCTGTGTTTCAGGACACCCATTAGATCAAATCTAACAAGGAGGGTGGATAGTACATTTCCATACACACAAACACAAGCTTTTTGTCAGGAATGCCTGTGCGATCACTGATCCATCAATGTAGAAAAGTGATGTAAAATATAAATTTCGGAATTTATAAAAATAATTTAGCATACTGACCTCCGGGAAAACTCCCGATCATAGATATATGTATATACATGTGTAATTCTCTGGCTCTGGATGGCCACAGTCCTCCACTGCAGCTTGGTCCCGCATTCATTTCAAAGGAGCGCTACCCTGTACTAATATGGCGGCTCTATTGACACATTCCCTTCAAATAGACAACAAAAGGGTAGGCGACATCTAATGTATATTTCTATGCATGATAATCATGTTGCTAGAATCAAATCAATTAGAACCATATATGTGCACATCATTCCAATCACTATATTTAGAGTGCATGTAAACTCTGATCAGGCTGAGCAACTGTAATAAATTCATTACAAACAAAACCAAAACAACATTTGACCAAATCTCACAATGGATGAACATGGTACTAGCATATCGATAGTATGATTCTAGCATGATAAACATGTTACTAGCATTGCTAGCAAAATAAGCCGGTTACTGTCATATTTCCAGCACTAAATCCATGGCATATACATGGATATATATATATATTAGGGTTGTAACGGTATGAATTTTTCACGGTATGATAATCATCTAAAACAATACCACGGTTTGACGGTTTCGCGGTATACGGTATGTTACAAATGTTACAAAATAATAGAACAGTGAAGCAAATTTGACTTTTTCCATATAATATATTTTTAGTTACTATAAACAACACCACTTACAATGAACAAATAAAAATAAGAAAATAATAAATAATGTGTCAAAGTCCAAATAAAGTCCAAATAAACATGGTGCAAATCCTCAGTAAAAAAATAGATATAAATATTTACTATACTATAAATAGTTACATAACGAAACTAGATTCAATATGGAACATCCTTAGGTTCTATGTGCCAGCATGGATTTGGATGTGGTTGTATGCAATGCAGACAAACAGCTGCATCTTCATTTGTGTCTTTTGAAAACAGCAAGAGCAGCAGTTCGTCTTTGCTGTGTCACTGTTTTGTCATGTTTCTGTGCTGCTGTGCATGCAAAAGTACTTAGTATGAGAATTATTTCATGCAAAACTTTTTTTTTTGCGTTTTATTCCGTGTTGTTCAAAAAGCTTGGTCCACAAACAAAAGCGAAACCTAGGCTTATTGGTTGTGATATAGCGAGTTTGAACCAATCTGGGCATGGAGGAGGGACAATGCATCAATGTATCATGTCTGATTTGTCCGGAGACACAGTGACGAGCATTTCTTTGTCAAATCAGCGTTGTCAAATGTTGATGACGTAACCGCACTGATTCCGGAGCCTCTGAAAGTCCGCGAATGTTATGTGATACAGCACTGGAAAGCTGAGATTCTCTTCTTTATGCCAATCATTGAATTGTATGAATCGGATCAGCGGATCAAAAGTTATTAAACATTTAAGAGCAATACTTATTTTTAGACGCGGGCGGCTGTCTCTGTCTTTAAGGGTTAAAACCGTTGATATGCAATTGTTCATGGTATAATAATCGTGCACGTTCAAATCGTGGTAAACCGTCATACCGGTATATTGTTACAACCCTAATATATATATATATATATATATATATATATATATATATATATTTAATTTCAAACAAAAGCAAAACGGAAGCTTGTCACTCTGATAAATGGATGCAAAGTTAAATAGTTTTAGGGCCCATGTACACCGGGAAACTTTTTGCTCGCGTTTTCCAGCGACGTTTAACGCCTTGTGACTAAATAAAGGGTGTCAATGTGATCGTGCACACCAATGTGCAAAACGGCAGGCGTAAAAGCGTCATTTTTAAAGAAACGCCTCATGCTCTTTTTTTGTTTTGACGTACTGCCCTAAAACCTTCTCCACCAATCGGATCGGCACTTTTGTTCACGTGCACGGAGCTGCTGAAGTTACAGTAAACAGCTCTTGGAGGCGCTCAAGTACAAAACTCTCAATACGAGCGCACATTGAAGAAGACGCCCAGAGGCGACATGAACGTGGAGCTGCTTATTGCTCTTGTGAACAATCATCATTTCTTCATCGCTAGAGCTGGAGCTGCTGCTTGAACCATCCATAACAAGCGTGTCAACTTTGTCTTCTTCTTCTGTGTTACAAGCGGGTGTCGGAAGCTTAAAGGTGTGTAGCACCATCTAAAGGCTGATTTATACTTCTGCGTCAAACGTCGGCGTATGCTACGGCGCTGACGCATAGCCCTTCGCCGTGGCCATCGCAGTCACTGACGTGCACCTTTTAAAAACTGTAACTACACGTCGCAACGACGCATAGCGTAAGCTCTGTGATTGGTCGGCTTGGTAGCGCTGACGAGTCTGGGCGAGACCGAGAGCTGCGCGAATGGCGCGAGCGATTGTTTACAAGTGTGGAGTCCCGTGAAGGAGCTCCGGATGGAAAGTTTTGTTTTGTGTTTACCTCATAGTTAAAGTTGTTGCACGTCCGCCGGTTCCTGCCTCAAAATGAGCGAGTTTGAGTCACTTGTACATCCCGGAAGTGTTCAGGAAAAGCAAAAAGCAGAGAAGAAACTCGACACAGAGGAACATTTACACCTCACTGCCAACTAGCGTTTCGGAAGTGTTAATGCAGACCGACAGAGACAGCAGCAGAAGTATAAATGCACAGCCGCGCGCGTTGCCTGCGCCGTGGGTTACGCCGGTCACTTGACGCAGAAGTATAAATCAGGCTTTAGGAGTGGTTTTGCATCCTCCTCTGCTCGACACCAGTGAAAATCGCTTGGGTTTGAATCCGGAAAAATGTCTTGAAAAACGCTGACGATAACAACGCAAACGAAAAGCGTCCCGGTGTGTACAAGCGTTTAGGTTTGCATTACATTTACCAAATCTCACAATAGCTGAACATGTTACTAGCATGTTGATAGTATAATTCTAGAATGACGAACATGTTACTAGCATAAATAACATCACTTGAACATTGTTACACTGATTATCATGTTGTTTGCATTTAATTAAAACCATGACATTTGTGCATAAAACAATCCAATCACTATATTTAGAGTGCATGCAAACTCTATGATCAGACTGATCAGTCTGAATATCTTCATGACGAACAAAACCGAAAGCATCATGGAAGATCATCACTCTGATAAATGGATGCAAACGTGAAATAGTCATCTTATGTTTGCACAACATTTGACCAAATCTCACAATAGCCGAACATGTTACTAGCGTGTTGATAACATTGACATATAAACATGCACATCAATCCGATCACTATATTTAGAGTGCATGTAAACCCAATGATCGGGCTGATCAATTGGAAGAATAATTCTAAATGAAACCAAAACCATTGTGAAAGCTCGTCACTCTGACACATGAAAGCAAATAAGAAATGGTCATCTTGCACACTGCTAGAATTATTATCAGGTTGTTAAAATCAAATCAATTAAAACCATGACACAAAGATGAACATCAATCTGATTACTATATTTAGATTTAGGCATGGGATAATAAAAGACAAGGTTTTAAAACCACTAAATATTTCTGTTACACCGTTCCTATAGTATATGTAATCATTTTTAATTACTATTTTATTTTATTTTTTTTGGGTGGGGCAACAGTATCTCCAGTAGAAAAGTACCCTCCACATCAATAAGCTACTGGTTAGGACACAATTCAGAAAACATCTGTTAAACAAATCGCTTATCAACCAACACTGAAGCACGCTGTAGAGCTGAACAGTGCAGCTGCTTTACTTTATACCCTCAGAAAAGATAGATATCCAAACATGCCTTTTCAAGTTGTAAAGAAATCCGTTTTTAAAACTACTGAAGACAGCAGAAGTCAATGATTTATTTTAACTATTTAGCCTGACATGTTTACTGTTACAATATGCTTAAAAAGTTTTTTTTTAAATAACATATATTGTGTGCAATAGGGACACAAAAAAACTATTTTAGAGCAGTAATCACAATACTGTGAAACCATGATATTTCTATCCAAGGTTATCATACCATCAGAATCTTATACCTGCCCATGCCTTTTTAGATTGCATGTAAACTCTATCCGCTTGTTAAGTGGTGACGTGTTTGTGACGTATGTAAAACTGTTTCCGGGTCCAAACGTGATCATAAACGAATGATTTCTCCACTCAAATGAATGGCGGTCATTTGAGTGGAGAAATCATTCGTTTATGATCACGTTTTATTCCTATCACACATTAAAGTTAATTTTATATAAAATCGTAATGTACACAACAATCTCTGGGCTTGCTGCATAACAAATACCAAAAATTTATCAATTTATAAAAAAAATTATTACTTTCTGGCCATTGGATATTAGGCACGGACATATATACTGCGATCGTGATTTTCGTAAGCATTACATCGCTTTGTAAACGTTTATTATTACCATTTCATGTGTCTCCCCATGTAGTTGAATAGAGCGCTTGGACCCGGAAGCCGCTTCGCGTGACGTCACACTTAACAAGCGGATGATCAGACTGATTAATTAGAATAATTAAATTCCAACTAAAACTAAAATGTCCATGCAAATGTAGGTCAATCATAAAACACTGAACGATACTTACTGGCGGTGCTGCTGGCGTATTTGGCACTGCTCGAGCGTCCGCGAGTGATCGGCTGCCTGCTGATGGCATTTGTAACCTTACGCAGAAGAGCCCTGGGATCCGGAACTGATGCTTTCCGCACGGAGCTGCTCGACTCTGTGCTGCGGTTCGAGAAGCTCGTCCGGCTCGCAGAAGAAGACTCTGTGTCACTCGGGGTGTTAAAAGATCCCGTCCTTTTCCTAGGCAGAGCCAAAATGTCCAATCGAGAAAGTTTCTTGCTTGTTTGAGCCACTCGATTGTTTGCAGAAGGATTGACGTCGGAATTCTGAGACGTTCGATCGGTTTCGGTACCTTCATTATCAGAGGCTTCACCCAAACGTCCACGTCGAAGCATTGACGCTCTTGTTGGTCTTGGAGCGGAAAGACTATTGGAGCGAGTTACGGTAGGTTTGGATTTGCTCGTACCTTCCTTCTGAAGAGGAATAGTGTACTTTTTATAAGGTAAAGAACTTGATTCCTGGTCTGAGACAGTGTCAGGAAACTGCCGTGTAGCAGGACTTTGCTGTTCATTTCCAAAGTCTTGAGAACTATGATTTCGACGGAGCTGAAAACGCTTGCCTGGATCTGACTTCTCCTTCATCCCAGACTGATCTTCTGAGGTTTTAGGTTCTCTGGTATACTGACCGGTACCTTTTAAGAATCCTTTGAGTACTATAGGCTTCTTGGGAACAGAAACGCAAGGGTTTTTGCCACTGACAGTACTAGAAGTGTCGGATTCTCCAGAGAAAGAGTCCTCCGGATGTGAGCGACCGTTGTTTACTTGTTGCTCCAGAATCTTGGCTTCCAGAGATGCAAGAACATCCTCAGTGTCTTTAAGGTATGAATGAGTATCTTGACTGTTTACACCCTTAAAAACATCTTTGCTCATGGGCTGACTCGATATCTGGGGCAATCTGGACAACTGGATGTCATCACTCGCTCTTTCTTTGGTGTAACTTTCTTGTCTAACAATAGACACTAAACTGTCTCCTCCAAAAGAGTCATTTTTGCTTGGCTGACCAATATTGGGTGGTGCACCATTGCTCTTGCTTGGTTTCCCATACTGTCGGGTTAACGTAGCAGTGGAGAACTTCTGAGGTGTATCCTGGTCTTTTGCCTCGTCTTGATTGGATGGTGTTTTTGAAGGCCGACTCCATGTCTTCTGGTTCACTTCGGGAGTCTTCCTGCACTGTTCAATGACAGATCCGTCATCAGACTTGCTAGCATCGCTAAGGCTGTCTGGATCCAGATCATCCTGCACATTGAGTTTCTGTGGATCCCACTTGTGCTTTTGAACTTGTGAACTCTTCTCCACAGTGGACAGGTACGGATCAGGTTGGATGTGTATCATGGGTGGAGGTGTCTCAATCTTCTCCTTTAAAGGAACCTGAGGCAGAACTCGTCGTGATCTGCTGTTTTGGCTATTTTCAGAGTAGTCAGCGCTCCGGTTAAGCATGTTTATCCTTTCACCAGCTTAAAGATATGATCAAGATGAACAATTAAAAGTCTCATCAAAAACAAAAGCAAAAAAAGCTAGTGAGCCAAGCAAAGTAGGGATGCACGATACATCGGTAGCTATGCAGTTAACAAGATTAGGTTGATATGTTTAAGCTGATAAATCATGTATTTACTGCAGACATACCGATATCAGCCCCTAAATGCTATATATATATATATATATATATATATATATATATATATATATATATATATATATATATATATGTAAGAACAATATTTATATGTATTAGTCTATGTATCAGCAATCAAATCTAAAGAGTTATCAGTATCAGTCAAAAATTCCATATCCCTAAAGCAAAGTCTCCATACCTTCGGAGGGAAGATCAACCTGTGTTGGGACATCAAATATTCCTGAAGCGGGACCAGAGTCTGAATAGGTATCAGCCAAACTGGCCCAGCGAGAAACCCATCGAGTGCCTCCAGGTGTTAATGACGTCATTGACTGTAACTGTAGAAAAGACCAAATCAACCACTATGGCAAAGCACTTTAAATGGCATCCCTGTACCTGAGAAATTTTCACTATCTAAAAAATAATGTCTTTTCTATTTACCTTGAAATAAAATAATCTGCCCTAAACTGTTTTGAACAAATACTATGATGATTTAAACATTGTGAAAATATTATTTGTACCATTTATTTTATTTTTAAGAATTCATTGTTTTATTCTTTTATTTCTTTTATTTTCTTCTTTTGTCCTAATTCTGTTAAATAGTTATGCATTTCATTGCTATATACACACTTTCAGATATTTAAATAATAATAATAATCTTTTCAGAATAAACTATGTGAATATTTAAAATCATACAATGCAAATATTTATTAAAACTCTTAATCTTATGCTTGGTTAAAAATAATGAGCAAACCAGAGTCGTATACAGCTATGCTAAAGATATTACAAATCTTGGAATTTCAAGGCATTAATATATTTTTATTTTTTATGCATATATGTATTTATTTGTTTGTTTGGTTATTTGCTAAATATTTCTTGCACTTTCTGAAATGGAAACAAATTATTAAATAAAAAAACTAAATTTCATTAACTGGTCCTTCACATTATTTACTGAATGTCTGAATGCATCAAAAAGTATATACTTGTACATGTGTAATGACAATAAAGTTGAATCTAATCTAATCTAAAAAGAAAATATTAAAACATATCAAATGAAAACACCCCAATAACAAAAAAGACCAGACAATTTAATAACTCAAATCACTCGTTCATAATCATCCAAAAGCAGGAAAGAGCCCAAAGACATGACAAGTTCCCCAAGAAAGATCCAAAGAAAATCCCACTCAGATTGAAGCAGACTACAGTGATCGATTGACAGATTTATCCACTAATGCCCTGATCCGCAGTGAAGATGCCAGCGTTCGGGATTGTTTTACCTGCGCAGGACTCTTGGCTGTGGCACTATGTTCTGATGGGAACTGACCCATTATCAGGCCTGAACTATTCTCATTGACAAGAAGGCTATCATGAGCCTCAGAGTCACCAACTACAGCCTTATCTGCTGCTGATGCTGCTGTGGTTTGGCTGTTTTCTCCAACACCAAACACCTGTTAATGATAAATAATGCATGAATATAAAGGATTTTAGATGCGTGTTCAGCTGACTGGAACTCCTCCGGCACTTGATTGGATAAAGAGTTTCTTCCACTGTATTTGTTTTTCCTACTATGGATGTCATTGTTCACAGGTTTTGTTTAACAGAAGAAAGAAAATCTTAAAGGGTCACGAAACACCAGAACACATGTTTTGAGCTGTTGACAGTCGTATATGTGTCCCACACTGCTAAAAACACTATTAGGACACATATATCTCACTAAAAAGTAAACATTGGTTGTTTTTGCGTTATTTCGAGCAAATTCGTACTTCCGGTTTGAAACGAATTTTTGAAGCTGCGTCACGGCCATGAGATCTTAGCGTGTATTTCAGCGTGTAGACTGGACGTCTGTACCAAGGCGTCCCGTATTACGTCTCTGAGTGTGTTGCATTCATTCATGAGTATGGCTTGGTTCAAACCAATCAGCACGCTCTCCATTATGTATGCGCTGCAACTTCATTAATATGCATGATAGCTTTCTTAGACTGTACCTGAAACAGTGTTCAGACGGCAGAGAGACAACGCACTTTGTGTTGCCAAAAGTTGTGGGAAAACAATAAGAATTGTTCTGAGATACGGGTCGCCAGTGTTGCTTGCATTTTTGTAATGTCAAGATTGTGTTTCATTTTCTCTCTATGAGAGCGCTGCTAGACTCACGTGTGGATCAGTGATCACGACGCGCGGCAGAAATGTGTTTGTTTGGAACATTATTTTACTCGAGAGCATTTCTCATCAATGGTGAGATCCGGATTTGCTGCTCGTCTCCTTTAAAAAAAGATGCAGCTCCAGTATGTGTTGATAGTCCTGTCTCTACAGATTTGGTAAGTGTGTGCTATCAGCGCCCTTTCGTTGTTCATTCACACGGCAAAGTTATAGTTGGTATGGTCAGCAGTATTCTTTCAGTGTTTAAAGACAGACCTTGGTCAAAATGATTTCTAAGTTACTTAGTTTACAGTATGTTAATGTCATTATAATATTGAGAGATCCACAGTAAATGCTGCTCTCTGAGTGTAAACACGTGAACACTGTAAGCAAACTTTTGCTGACTGTCGTGTTGAATTTTCACCGCATTTTTGTGACAGGATAGTCCACATACACACGGCTTTCTGACCTACCGAGTGCATCTAAGTTACAGAGAAATGCAGAGGCTATTTTCTCTTATACGACGTGCGGTATCAAACATTCCACCATCATTAAACACATATTAGCCCCTTTCACACAGTGATACCGGTAAAGTCGTTCCGGAAATTTTCGCTGTTGAAAAAAGCGCTGTTCACACAGGCGAGGACGTTACGGAAATTTTCCGGAAAAGAGCATTCACACATCCATTCCAAAATACCGGTAAATTCTGACATCATTCACCACAAATGAGCTTTAAACGGCTGCGCTTGTGTTTGTAAACATTTGACTACATTACAAACTCTGTGGATGATCAATATTGTGAACAACTTTCGCAGGATCACTTTCGCATGTCGAGATGTTCATAATATGTGTGTGTGCTGGCGCTCACAGTCTGTTTCACAGGCACACGCAAAGCTTGAAGGTAAACAAACAACGGCTTATTATAAGCATCTCATCGATGATTATTTACACAGTTGGCATTAAGAAGAACATATAAACGTGATCTGACTAACTTCTAGCAGCTGAATGTGTCTGGAAAAATATTCAAAGGCTTTTATTCTCACAAACCGCGCGGACGTAAATGCGTCTGACTGTTGTGATTGGCTAAAGCAGACGTCTCACGTCAGCACGTTCTAGACGTGCACGCGCTTATTACGGCAATCTTCCTTCTGCGTTCACACAGCGCAGCATTCCGGCAAATTACCGGTAATGTTACAACTTCTCTTCCCGGAAAATAGCCAGAACGAATTTAGCGGTATTTTCAAAAAGGACCTGTTCACACACAACCTTTCCGGAAAATTGCCGGCAATTTTCCGGAAAGGTCTGTATGTGTGAAAGGGGCTACTGTCTCCCCTGCGTGTGTGTTTGTTTGTACTCGGTCAGACGTGCGTGCCCAAATGGTAACTCCCATTTTTATTCAAACCCTGCCCATCTTTCCTCCCCCGACACTCCCACCCAAACAAAGCTAGACACGCCCACTTTCCTGACTTTTTCCAAACTAGAGGTGTGAAAACATCCTGCTGAAACGGGGGGTTTCATGGCTCTTTAATGGTATATAACCTCTTGAGGGCGAGTAACCTCGAGTTAAATGCTCTGGTGTGCCTGTATCTATGGGTACACTCAATAAACAGCACTAAGTTCGGAAAAACGGATGACCTTCACGGCCAATCACAATCAGTGCTGTTTAAGAACGTGCCCAACAGTGCTCAAATGTCAACAGGTGATGTAGGTGTTTAAAATTACTGTAAATTTGGAAAAATGGAGAACAAAAAACATGATGACTTATATCACAACATGAGATTTCCATCATATCACCCATCCCTATGTTCAGTCATCAGTGTGTAGTGTATATACTGTACCTGATCAATCAAGCTCCGCGCCTCCGCAACGTCTCTATCCGGCCCTTCAGCTTCAATAGTGTATGTTCCTGCATCACTCAGACTGTCCTCCTCCTCCTGCCCTTTGGGAGGTTTGCCCTCAGTATTATCACCATCCTCCACTCGCTCAGATCTGATCATGTGATTCTGCGATTGAGAAAGACTCTCCTGCACCACATTATTTGTCGTTAATGCCGAAGACGTTTTCACCCAAGTTGTATTGGAGTCCCATGAAGACGCAGCACTGTGTTTTGACACCCGAAGCAACTCCGCTGCGAAATCCTGCGAGATTTTGGACCTGCGGCCGATGCTGCCGAACGGTTTTGTCACAGAGCGAGAGCTGAATTCAGAAGTGCTCATTCGGATTTCGCTCGTCTCGCGACGCAGAGATTCAGCTCTCTGTGGACTATCTGAATCTTTGAGGGGAATCGTGAACTGTTGTGTTGCTGGATTGTGTCCGGATGACAAAGTTGTGCCTTTTCGTTTGTCCAACTTGTTTTTCAGCGCAGACTGGAAGTCTGGAGAGGAGATGTTGTTGGTGAAAGACTGCGAGCGCTTTTTGCGTTGAGCATCATCAAAGAATTCAATCACGTAAGCCTGTTTGGGGTCCGTTCTGCATTGGTTCTTTGAATCTGCCGTTTGATTGGATGGATAATCTACAGGCTCTTGTTGTGGTGGGGTTTTTTGTGCAGCTGAGTGTGAGACTGACAGAATTTCCTCCTGTTCTTCCACATCTGGATCTTCATTATGGTGTGCATCTAGAAATAATACAAGCAATCGATAAACATTTAGAAAAGTGATATGATGTGACTTGGGGAATTTTAGATATAATATTCAAGCTTTAGATAAGTAATCTATGTAGTTCCTCCTTTTGCAGCCAATACAGCATCAATTGGTCTTAGGAATGACACACAGGGTTTCTGCAGGTTTCACCAAGTTAACTTTAAGACTTCAAGACGTTTTTAAGACAATTATGAGTGAAATTTAAGACTTATATGGGGCTATATGCTAAAAGATTTTCACTTGAACTGTCAAAATTTATTATAATTTAACACATTTAATAATACAATAATGACAATTTAATAATAAAACAAATAAGTCAGGTCAGTATCCCTAAGCAGTAAATAAATGGAGAACTTGCAAACAAATTACTATTAACAAGTTACTGTAAGGAAAGTAATTAAATGCCATTTCAAGTAATAAGCATTAATGAGATTGGGATTGTTGGTGATTGTATGAGTGTTACTGGCCAGATTGGTTAGCTATACATGAACAAAGGAAAATTAAGACCAGTTAAAAAAAGGTTTAAGACCTACAACACAACGTTTTAGTAGATTTAAGACTTTTTAAAACCTAAAATTTAGCTTTTGAGACTTAAAGGTTCAGGACACCCTGGAGAACTTTTTTTTATATTAACAGATTTGTGTGTGTTGAGCATCAGTTTAGACAATGTTAGCACCTGTCACCTCTAATTGTGGGGAAAACTGGATAATTTTGAGCTTTTGTCAGCTCATTTCAGCTTCCGGGTTTAAAATGATTTTTGGGGCGGGATCAAAATCGGCGACGTAGCGCAGAACTGCAAGTGCAATGATGACGCGTCGGTTTCTCATTATTATTCATAGCGGAGTTTTCTTATCCTATGAGAAGAGCCGGCTGCTTAATTATTCATGAGACCTGCCAGACCTGCCAGAGTCAAGCCCGAGCTGTGTCACGGACCCACGGGCACACAGTATTTAGCCGTTCATGAAGGCTCAAATGTGTTTGTTTCCATGATCCACGGGGTTTGTTGCATGTTTTCCCCCGCGATCTTGTCAGGGCTGATCATACAGCAAAGCTGAGTGTGTGCTGCTAGCATTTTTGTCGGGAGAGCAGCACGAGAATCAGAGAATGGCGGACGCTGTCTTTCATCAGGAGTTCGTTCACATTCAGACACATCACTGTGCTGCTGTGTTTGCCTAAATCCTCTAGATTACCAGCAGGGCTAATGGTTAAAATAGACAGGTCAGGAGACCTGCTGCACTGAGTCTGCTGGATACGGGGATTGAGGGAGAAGTCCCCATTTATACGGTTTACATGAACACACTTATCTTTATAATGATATAAATTGTGGTTATGTGTGTATGAAATTACCAATAACAAATGTAGCAGGGCATTAAATCACTGTTTATTTCTTTGCATTTTAACTTTGTAAACTATAAACTCATGCATCTCCTCACGGTTTGTCTCATTTTGTGAGCTACCTTCGTTCGCTCACGTTCTCCCCTGCTGGCCACGCCCACTCCTGCCCGATGCTCGCGGAGCTCCACGCCCATTAATCATGCATCTTTTGAAAAAATTCTGAAGTAGACTTTAACCGAAAGTGGGGGGTGTCATGGCCCTTTAAGACATTTTAAGACTTAAGACAATGCTGATACCCTGGACAGCTACAAGTCCAGAACAACTGTTTTAGTTCTTCTTTAGAATAGTGTTCTGGGGCCTCATGTACGAAGACTTGCGTGGAAATCATACTAAAACATTGCGTACGCACAAAGCTGTAAATGTGCGTACGCAGAAAAAAATTCAGATGTATGAAACACTGCGTACGCCGAATCCCACCCATATTCTTTTGTACATCCGAATGAACGTGAATCTGAGCGAAACATGCACGAGCGCAAAACCCCTCCCTGCCTCCTCCCCTGTATGAATATGCTAATGACTCTACTTTGGCAAAACCAAACGAAAAAGCAACGGCAAAAGCAAACAAGAAGAGAAACTTTGAACAGAATGTGAATTGGAGGTGCTGCTTTCGGAGGTAGACCGGAGAAAAACTGTGTTATTTGCATGTTTGTCCTCCGGAATTAACAACAAAAGAAAAAAATAGAGTGTGAGAGTTTAGCTGATGCGATTAACACAGTTAAGTCTGAACATCGCACTGTGTGGATTAAAAAAAAGAAATAGTGGGATTTATAGGTGTAAATGTTGTAGTACCCTGAATAGTCTCAGAGGCGCAGCTCGTAAAACGCATGTCAACATGTTTTGACACGTTCGAGCATGAACTCGGTTCGAATCCAGAGTCTGATGAACTCATTCTTCCCCCATAAAAACTGAACGCTTCCCTAGCGAGCAAACAGTTAAACAGAACATCTGCAGCACGAGGATAAAGAACGAGCCTCCTCCATTCAGCCTCTTTATTTTACTCCTTTACTTTGGTGGAGTGAGGAAACGGTGGTCACTCACTCCACTGAAGACATCCATTAGCCCGCATATTTAATTTTGTTTGTTAAGCGCAAAGATTTGTTTCAAAATTATTTCTAAATTCAGTTCTAATTTCCAGCAAACAAATAAATGGAGAATAATAACGAATTATATCCAAACACACGTGTTCATCCTGTGTGTATTTAGCAGTGTGTAAGTGTTTGGACCTGTATAGGTGCATAACTAACGTACTCTGTGCTTGACTTCAGAGCAGCTTTTAGCTGGTCAATGGTGCGGTTTATTTCAGTTCCTCAAAATAGCAACGCGTCAACAATGCGCCTTAAAACACCTCCTTTATAGACCAGCACAGCCATGAGTCCACAAAATGGCGGAAATAGATTTGCTATTTAAACAACGCGATGCAAAACATGAAACTTAGATTTGCACTGGTCCGAAAATAGCAACAAATCGTGGCCAAACACATCTCGCGCCTTATTGGGGCGGGTGTATGATAGAGCCCTAAATATCACCAGAAAATAACTGCACACCTAAAAATGTCCATAAGCCAATCAGAGTCAAGCATTGAGCCATTGTATAATAATAACTAAATCTAAAATGTATATTCATGAACACAAAGCACACAGTCATGAATTCTCCGTGTCGTGTTTTACCTCTGAAGGTCTTGTTGAGCAGCTGATCTGATCTGGGCTCCTCAAGACTCCTCAAAGACGTGTCGCTCTGCACCAACCAATCAGCCACTTTATTCTCCACAGACATCACCTCCGTCAGGCGGCTTATAGACTCCTTGCTGGGGTTTCTGCGCTGGCGGATGGACATTTTAGAGATGTGGTCCTTAATCTTCATCTTTCCAGGCGTTTGCTCGTCAAACTCAATGGTGAAGGAGGCGTGACCCTGCACCACCGGAGAGACGGACGGAGGCTTGTGGTCGGGGTCTTTTGTGGGAATCTCCTGCATCTCCAATAGACATAATACAATATTCAATAATTCAATATATCATGATAATGTGCATGCACAACGTTGATAATACCATAAGTAATTATTTATTCTTAACGTTTTTACAGTGCAGTGGTGTTCATAACAGCACCAAATGCTCTTAAGAGACTTAATCGATAGTTAGTAGTTCCGATTAGTAGTCAATTAATAGTTGAAACATTGACGTTTTCATATGTTAATCTGGCATACTACATGCTGAAATACTGAGTGAAAACTCTGTGCACAGTTCAAGTTTACTACCCTTTTGTTATGTCCGAGATGAAAACATCCACTAAATTAAACTTCTGTAAAAAAAGCATCAGACTAATATTTTTTTCCACATTTTTTTGCATAAATCCGTTAATCAACCTCAGTCCTGATCAAAACTATTAAATTGCTTAGAAAATTACATGATGTCACTGATTTGGTGAAAAAAAACACATAAATGACAATTTCAATATAAAACGCAATTGTGGACTGGATTTTTTCCCCCATTTTAATCACAGTTTTGGACATGTGAAAGATTAGTAACAACATTGGCTTTGATGCATTATTAGATTTACATTTTTTCTCCCTAATTTACTGTTGGTGGCTGTTTTTGCCTCACGGACTTCCATTATAACCACATTTGATGGTGTTGTTTTGTGGTGTATTGTATGGAGCTAATAATATGCTCAAACAATCAGAATTTGATTTGTGTTATTTTGAATTATTGACAATTGTAATTTAATAAATAAGAGTTTTTAAAGACCTTTTTCTTAGGAAGCAAAATTACCCATTATGCTTTGCGTGTATGCGCAAGGAGAATGCCAAGAACTTCCGGTCGGCAGCTGATGCGTGCAAACTGTCACATTTGGACAGCTTTGAAACGATAGTTTTAATCTATTTTTTCTGCTTTTATCATCTTTGAACTAATACTGTTGTCCATCAGCACCATCTACTGGACTGATTATTTAAAGAAATGCGATCTAATAGGATGGAAAACAGCTGCTGTGAGGCGTTTCCCCCTCGTTGTCAGATGGCATCTTCTGCCATTTAAATGAAGCCTCGCCATCGCTAAAGTCAACATTTTCTCTTTCTTTCAAATATATAACCAGCCCAAACTAATGTAGTTCACCAAAATGTTTGACACACACACGTAGCCTGTACTGTGCCACTGACACACTGATTTAATAACTGTGACAGTGAAAATATAGGCTAGTGTCATTTCGAAATGACAGAAAAACACAAACCGTGGTAAAAACAACACACGAAATAAAACACAAACGGCTCGCGATTAGAATGAACAGCAAATCAGCCAGAAGAGGATCAATAACAGACCTTTATTGGTCATTTTTGTAAATTGCACGACTTTCATATCTGTTAAGTTTCATGCCAGTACTCTGGTTTGCTCTATGTTGCTCTCTCTGTCTGTGTTTGTGTGTTGAAGAGCCGCTGAGCTAACAAGCCGGGAACGAACACACAAACACACACACACACACACACACACACACACACACTATTTCTGACGGCAGACACGTAAACTAGGAGAGCGTTTTTTTTCCGTATTTCTGATGCTCTTAAACCACATCTGACAAATTATAACGGCTTTAACATTTCTAAGTTGTGTGTCACAAAAACACTCTGTAATACATTAAAAACGTTATTGAAACCCATTTTCGGAGCACAAATTACCAGTTGTAAACGCTGTAAACTGAAGTTTTTAGCATTTTACCGTAAGACGCAGGTCGCTATGGCGCCCTCCATGCCGTAGCCAAGAATAAGGTCTATATGCCGCTAAAAAATTTTTTATTTTGATCTTATTTTGAATTTGAATTTCATAACTGGACTATTGAACATCTGAAATTTAAGACAACTGAATTTTTCAAGGCTGAATTTTTTATAGACGCATTTTCAAACTTTTCAAACTTGTGTTCTGAATTCACAGACTGCAGATATCCAGTTTGTAAAAATAGAGTTTCAAATTTTCGAGATGAAAACCTCAGAACATCAAGTTCAATATGCTAAAATTCAAAACCAGAAATTCAAATTCAGCAGAAAGTAGGTCAGGGGTGATCGCCATGAAATAAAAATGTACTTTTTTATGTGCTTCTGCTTGTTTTAAATGAGTCATAATCATTGAATTAAGTGCAGTTAATAATAATAGATTAATAATACACTAGGTTTTTTTGTTATTACACCCATTAAAGTAACCTTTTTAAGCAGTTTAGGTCATTTATCTGATAATACTGTATGGTTTACTGTGATAAAAATCTTCAGCAATTAATAGCAAAATAAATAAATAAAACTGACATAGTCATAAGCCTAACCTCAGTCAATGTGCTTTTGGCCTTTGGATGGTTCTCCTTAGTAGGGATCTCAAAATAACTGGGCTCCTTTTTGTGAATGAAGCTGGATTTGCTCTGGCCATCGTGAAGATCGTCTGGAGAAATGCTGAGATCATGTTTGGTCCCTTCCTTCGTGTTTTCTGTGAGAAAGTATTAGTATTAATGCACTATGACTATTTCCAGACTCAAGGTCCAATAAAAAAAAAAAAAAAAACACAAGTTAGAATAAAAAATGTAAAATTAATTCAGAAATAAAATACAGGTTCTGAAATGTATTGAAATGGAACAAAGCCTTAATTACACATGTACAACGAAATTAAATTAATAGAGATCAACCCAGCCTTTGTGAAAATATTGAAAATATTTAGTTGAAAGTGCAATCTAATAAATTATATCAAATACTATCAAATACTAATCATTGCTGGCCCGATCGGGGCAGTGCTGCCTTGTCACTAAATTTAAATAGACGGCAACATGACCGTAACATCAAATAATGAGGCTAAAAGAAAACGTCTGTTTCTAACATTGTGGAAACATTTAAATGAGTACAGCACGAAAAAAAAAATTAAGTGATGTTTTGCATAGTTTGCTGTCACTTTTAAGTCAGCCACCTTTTGTTTTGGAATAAAATACCTGCGCATTTTCCATACTGCTATGTTTTACTGCTAAATATTTTAACATTTTTCAAACATTTAAATTCTGCATTCACATACATTATTTCGTGACACATTGTTTATTATATGTGGCTAATAAATAGCAATTAATTTTTTTGTTGTATTTATTTTTTTTAGCGGGGCCAGTGAAAATTTTGGCAGGGCAAGTAAAAATCTGAACCACTGGTCCAATCGGGCCAGTTGAAAAAATCCTTAGCGTTGAACCCTGAATTGCAAAATTATAATAAGCCAAATAAACAAATTAATAAATAAATTACAAGTTTGTAAATGTATTAAAATCAAACAAAGCTTTATTTATGCATGCACAAAGGTTAAATTATTAGCTAACAGCCCAGCTTTCGTGAAAAATATTGTATATATTTTTTAAAAGTGCAATTAATTCAATTTAATCAAGTACTAGCCAGTATAAATGACCAGCAAAATATGTGCGAATATTAAAAAAAACCCAAAAAAGTTATGTTTTATAAATAAATAGAATTTTAGAAATGTATTGAAATTACACAAAGCTGTTATTATGCACGTGCAAATGTGTTGAATCATCAGATCAAACTAAGGGCAAAAGCAGACTGATGCAGGTGACTGTGAAGCTAGAAGGAGATTATTGACGCCTTAATTGACTCCTGCTGTGAGAAAGCTCAGCTATTTCAGCTCCATCTTAACACCTGATCAGCTGAAACACGTGTAAACTTTCCGGCAGAGACACATTTTTTTGTTCACACACAAAGCAAAAGGCTGCACAAATGTCCTTTGACTGCAGGTGACGCTAGAGATGTATAAAGACTGACATCTAAACTACATATCAGAGTTTAGTGTGGTTAACTAAAAGTAAAAAATATGTATATTTAGGTTTTATAGTTAAATATATATCTTTATATAAAAAATGTATTTATATAAATTACGTAATATATACACTTACTGGCCACTTTATTAGGTACACCTTACTAGCACTGGGTTGGACCTCTTTTTGCCTTCAAAACTGCCTGAATCTTTCATGGCAGAGATTCAACAAGGTACTGGAAATATACCTCAGAGATTTTGCTCCATATTGACATGATAGCATCACACAGTTGTTGCAGATTTGTCGGCTCCACATCCATGATGCCGATCTCCCATTCCACCACATCCCAAAGGTGCTCTATTGGATTGAGCTCTGGTGACTGTGGAGGCCATTTGAGTACAGTGAACTCATCGTCATGTTCAAGAAACCAGTCTGAGATGATTGAGCTTTATGACATGGTGCGTTATCCTGCTGGAAGTAGCCATCAGAAGATGGAGACACTGTGCTCATAAAGGGATGGACATGGTCAGCAGCAATACTCAGGTAGGCTGTGGCCCTGACACCATGCTCAATTGGTACTAATGAGCCCAAAGTGTGCCAAGAAAATCTCCCCCACACCATTACACCACCACCAGCAGCCTGAATCATTGATACAAGGCAGGATGGATCCATGCTTTCATGTTGTTGAGGCCAAATTCTGAGCCAACCATCCGAATGTGTCAGCAGAAACGGAGACTCAGAGCAGCAACGTTTCTCCAATCTTCTATTGTCCAGTTTTGGTGAGTCTGTGTGAATTGTAGCCTCAGTTTCCTGTTCTTAGCTGACAGGAGCGGCACCCGGTGTGGTCTTCTGCTGCTGTAGCCCATCCGCCTCAAGGTTGGACGTGTTGTGTGTTCAGAGATGCTCTTCTGCAGAGCTCGGTTGTATCGAGTGCTTATTTGAGTTACTGTTGCCTTTCCATCAGCTGGAACCAGTCTGGCTATTCTCCTATGACCTCTGGCATCAACAAGGCATTTGCGCCAACAAAACTGCCGCTCACTGGATATTTCCTCTTGTTCGGCCCATTCTCTGTCAACCCTAGAGATGGTTGTGCGTGAAATTCCCAGCAGATCAGCCGGTTCTGAAATACTTAGAGGAGCCCGTCTGGCAGCAACAACCACGCCACATTTAAAGTCACTTAAATCCCCTTTCTTCCCCATTCTGATGCTCGCTTTGAACTGCAGCAAATCGTTGCCGCCATGTGATTGGCTGATTAGAAATTTGCATTAACAAGCAGTTGGACAGGTGTACCTAATAAAGTGGCCAGTGAGTGTATAAATAACTATAAATTATATATTATATATATATATATACACACACACACACACACACACACACACACACACACACACACACACACACACACACACGTATTTAGTATTACTTATATCTATAACTGATTATCTATAGCAGTGGTTCTCAAACTTTTTTCATCAAATACCACCTCAGGAAAAAAATGGTCTCTCCAAGTACCACCAAAATGAGCAGTATTGAAATAAAGTAGCGTAGTAGGCCCAGTAAACCAGCTACAACTCTGCCAAGGTAAAAAAAAAAAAACGTGGCAGTATATAGGCTATTTGTCATATATGGCATATTATATACATTATTTTTAATCAATTTTGAAATGTTTATAGCATGTACATGACATATTTCATTTCTCCGTGTACCACTAGAAGGAAGCCTGTGTACCACTAGTGCACGTACCACAGTTTGAGAACCACTGATTTATAGCTATATATCTATAATATATATATATATATATATATATATATATATATATATCATATTTATCATATTTATAGTTAACTGAAAAAAATCAAATCATGAAAAAAAAAACAACAGGTATAAATCAGAATAATAATTAAATATCTAAAATAGAAAGTTAATAATAATAAATAATAAAATTACATATTTTTACTTTAAATGATAACTCAAAACATTCTTTATATTTTTACAAACGTATATAGTTAACAAAAAACTAAATAAAAATCCATCATGAACATGAGGAAAATAACAATATGCAAAACTATAAAACATTTAAAAAACGGGTATAAATCAGTATAATAAATAATATACAACAACAATAAAAAAGAATTCAATTGTAAAACAAACACAGACACACAATAACAAAATCATTACAAAAACCCCAACAGTAACTCATTAGTACTAAAATATCCCTGGTAGTCAGCTGATGTAAACTGAAAGGTGACTCCTGAATGTGCTTACAAAACCACAGCCAAAGCAAGTGAAGCAGAAGAAATGTTTCTATGGTGAGCCTTTAATCTGAGCAGAAAACGCACTTAAGACCGAAACACAATGAGCTTCTCTGGACTCCACTAATCCATCACGAGGCTCCAGATCAGCACGCAGGAGGACTTTTATACTCATGAACATCAGCTGCACTTTCACAGAATTTAGCATGCTTATAATTAGTTTAACATGCATAGAATTGTTTAGCATGTTTATAATTGTATAGAATGCTTATTTTAGCTCAACATACATATAATTAATTAGCATGTTTATATTTGTTTAAATGTTTTTATTTGTTTAGCATGCATTAAATTCTTTAGGATGTCTACAGTGCATCTGCAAAGTATTGATAGCGCTTCACCTTTTCCACATTTGTTTATGTTATTGCCTTATTCCAAAATGGATTAAATTCATTTATTTCCTCAACATTCTACACACAATCCCCTATAATGAAAATGTGAAAAAAGAGTTTTAGTAATTGTTGCAAATTTATTACAAATAAAAAGCTGTAAAATCAGTATTCACAGCCTTTGGTGTAAAGCTGTAAATTGAGCTCAGGTACATTCTGTCTCCATTGATCATCCTTGACATGTTTCAGCAGCTTCATTGGAGTTCACCTGTGCTCAATTCAGCTGATTGGACATGATCTGAAAAGGCATACACCTGTCTATACAAGGGCCCAGGGTTGACAGTGCATGTCAAAGCACAAACCAAGCATGAAGACAAAGGAATTGTTTGTAGACCTCCAAGACAGCATTGTCTCGAGGCACAAGGCTGGGGCAGAAACATTTCTGCTGCTCTGAAAGTTCCAATGAGCACAGCGGCCTCCATCATCCGTAAGTTGAAGATTTTTGACCACCAGGACTCTTCCTAGAGCTGGCCGACCAACTAAGCTGAGTGATCGGATGAGAAGAGCCTTAGTCAGGAAGGTGATTAATAACCCGATGGTCGCTCTGTCTGAGCTCCAGCATTCTTCTGTGGACAGAGAAGAACCATCATGAACCACCATGGTGGCAGCATCATGCTGTGGGGATGTTTTTCAGCAGCAGGAACTAGTCAGGATAGAGGGAAAGATGAATGCAGCGACGTACAGAGACATCCTGAATGAAGACCTGCTTCAGAGTGCTCTTGACCTCAGACTGAGGCGACGGTTCATCTTCCAGCAGGACAATGACCCAAAGCACACCGCCAAAATATCAATGGAGTGGCTTCACAACGACTCGGTGAATGTCCTTGAGTGGCCCAGCTAGAGCTCAGATCTAAACCCTATTAAACATCTCTGGAAAGATCTGAAAATGGCTGTACACCGTCGCTTCCCATCCAACCTGATAGAGCTAGAGAGGTACTGCAAAGAGGAATGGGCAAAAATGCCTAAAGACAGGTGTGCCAAGCTTGTGGCATCATATTCAAGAAGACTTGAGGCTGTAATCACTGCCAAAAGGGCATCAACAAAGTACTGAGCAAAGCCATTGAATACTGATATACATGTGTATTCACTTTTTTTATTTTTAAAACATTTGCAACAATTACAGAAACTCTTTTTCACATTGTCATTATGGGGGATTGTGTGTAGAATGTTGAGGAAATAAATCAATTTAAAGGTGCAGTAGGTGAGTGTCTTCAGAAGCATGTGTTGTTGTGCTGGTTGAAAGTCTCTTCACAGTCTAATAGTAATGATTAAAGTAAAAGATCTAAATGTATTTATATGTATTTGTATATTTTGGGTAAGGCATAAAACTAAAAAAATGTTCAATTAAATAGAGTCGGACCGACATCTCCCATAATTCTGATAAGTAGCCCAATCTGTCTGTCAGCAAATGCAAATTTGAACAACTGCGCAGCTTTTTGTACGCAGCTCCGCCGACTGCCGTGCGTTCACGAGAGAGGGCGCTGGCGTGCGATCTGTAAAAACCTGCTGAATCAAAACTTTTTAAAAACCTGAATCAATATTGGAGTTACCTTTGCACGCTGGAGAAAGGATGACACCATGTCTGAAGGATTTCTCTTAGACAGGTAATGTTCTGTTACATGCAAAGCTGATGTAACGTTAGACGTTGTTGTTACAAATGGGTTATATCTTCACAGAAGTGTTGTTCAGCCACTAAAATCTTCAGATGAAAGATTGATAAGACTATTTTAACTTTCATAAGGTCCTTTTACAGCATTAATGATTTTAATCGGGGATTTTAATTAGTTTAACAACAAAACACAAGTAAATAGCGCTATTCCGCCTAGTCTCTCCCTATCTTGTTTAACATGCAACTCTAATATCGACTCTGAAATAACATGTCAGTTTGGCTTGCACGCCCGCCGGACAAGCACTAGTCGCTTTTAACACACGAGAGAGGGTTCTTCTGCTGTGCTTGTGTTAAGGAGGCGTGGCTCTAGACGGCAGGGGAGGGACTTGTGATTCAGAGATTTATGCTAAGCTGTTAGCATAGTGAAAGATCACCTACTCCACCTTTAATCCATTTTGGAAAAAGGCTGTAACATAAACAAATGTGGATAAAGTGAAACGCTATCAATACTTTGCGGGTTCACTGTTTATTTGTTCAACATGCTTATAATACTTCAGCATGTCTATATTTGTTTAGCATAATTATACTTGTAAAGCATGCATTTAATTGTATAGCATGTTTATACGTGTTTAGCATGATTATATTTGTTTAGCAGGTTTATATTTGTTTAGCATGCTTATATTAGTTTGAATGTATGGAATTGTTTAGCATGTTTATAATAGTTTAGAATTATAATATTTTGATAGTTTGTCAATTGCTGTGTTTCAATCCAAAGATGTGGATTAGATTTATTGGGCAATGTAAATAGTGCATAAAACATTTGTGAATAAGAGTTTCTATTCAATGAGAAACACAAGAGATCAAAATCATCACTTCCTGATAAAAGTGCACAGATATTGATCAGAGAAATGGAGTTTGGTGCATTGGGATTTGCCACCATACACGCTTCTTCTCTCATAAATGAATTGCACCTCAGAAGATGAAGATAAACTACAATGTGGCTTTTGGAAGATGAATGCTAAGGGTTTTGGCTTTTTTAAAACTCATGCACATCTTGGTATTTCAGTTAAGCATTTTTTTAAAGTGATATGTCTAAATGCACCTAAAACAAGTGGATGGAAAGCCAGCTATTGGTGAAGCTCTCTGCATCAGTGCTCAACACTGCTCTAATACAGGCTGCTTTGTGTGCATGTGTTTCTGTGTTTTTATATCGTTTCTTCAGTTTCTTTACCTGTATGTTGCTCCTGAGAGCTCGGATCACAGCGCTGAGCTTTATCTTCATCGTCTTCACCCCACCAGGACGGCTGACCATAAAGAGGTGTGGGTCTGGAAATCGGTGCATCTGGATCAGGGGAGAGGAAAGAGACTGATTTATTAAAAAAATAATTATTATAATTAACTCATTTCTAAAACAAAAAGGCAAACACATTTCAACATTAATGGTGCCCAAAATGACAAATAAATATTATAAAAGTATAACTGTGTGCAAAACAAAATGTATTTATATATAAACACCACAGCCATTTCACCCTGCAGCCCAAGAGGAGTTAGGAAGCTAAGCAGGGCTGAGCCTGGTCAGTACCTAGATGGGAGACCACATGGGAAAACTAGGTTGCTGTTGGAAGTGTTGTTAGTGAGGCCAGCAGGGGGCGCTCAACTTTTCGTCTGTGTAAGTGCAAATGCCAAAGTAAAAAGTTAAGGGGACACTATACTGTCAGTGGGCGCCGTCTTTCAAATGAGACGTTAAACCGAGGTCCTGACTCTCTGTGGTCATTAAAAATCCCATGGCACTTCTGGTAAAGAGTAGGAGTGTAACCCTGGTGTCCTGGCTAAAGTCCCCTAACTAGCCCTTACGATCATGGCCTCTAAATCATCCCCATCCACCAAATTGGCTCTATCAATGTCGCTTCACTCCACCAATAGCTGGTGTGTGGTAAAGCACTGCCGCCGTTGTCCTGTGGGTGCCATCGCATCATCCAAGTGGACGCTGCACACTGGTGATGGTGTGGAGAGGGAGACCCCCCCTCATGATTGTGAAGCACTTCGTGTGTACGGCCATACATGATAAATGCGCAAATTAAATAGACATTACATTAAAGCATCAATTATGCAATAATAGTATTATAATTAACAAGAACAAAAAAAAATAGAAATAATTATATTAAATTATGTCAAGTTTATTTTTACAAATCATGAGAAAATAAGAAAATCATTTTAATACAAAAAGAGAAGCCATATAAGACAAACGAAAAATTATATTAAAATGAAATCATTAAAATGAAAAAATAAATCTAAATAATTAAATTAGAAAATAAATTAACACCGAAAACAACCATACACATATAAATAAAACAAAATAATACAAGTAGGTACAGAAAAATTAAATTAAACAAAAACTGTTGATCACTAAAATAATGAAAAACACCATAAAAAAAAAGTTTTTTAATGTTTAAAATATTGTTTCACCACACCATAATAATAATTGGGAAAAAAAATCACTAAATTATATAAAAATGAAATATTTTACAATTTAGTTTCTAGTTTTAGAAACCTACTCATAAAATGAACCAAACCCCTTTCTTTTTTCTAAACTCCATTCATGTGAATGTCAGCAAGCACAACACTTTAATTTAAGGCCAAATGAACTGGTTGGAAAGAAACATTCATGCTCATTATGTGTGTGTGGCCTGAAGCTCTTGGAGAAACAGCAGTAATTTAGCAAACAGCACAATGAAGAACAGCCCAGACTTGACTTGACTCGACTCCACCCGAGCAAATCTAAAGCTGTCAGCTGTTCATCCAGCAGAGACAGATAACCAACCAGTCCTGCTGCTTAAAGAGAAAACAGGGCTACACACACTATATATGGTTTCAGCATCGATATCGCAATGTGATCATTCGCAATAGTCACATCAACAGATATGATTTTAAATTTGTGTTATAATTAATGATTTGTATGTGTTGGTAACACTTAAACTAATAGTCTATTAGTTAATGATTTACTAACAAGAACAAACAATTAGGAATATATTTATTCTGATATTTATTCAATTTTGTCAATGTAATTTAAGTTAAATGTTTTGTGCATTAACTAATGTGAACAAGCAAAAGTTTGGATATTAACAAATGAATGCTGTACAGGATTAATGAATGCTGTACAACATTATTCATACTTTGGTAATGTTAGTAAATACATTAACAAGTAGACCATTATTCTATAGTGTTACCCATGTGTTTTTGAGGCCTGTGACGGTATAATAATTTAAATAAACTTTCAGGCATAAGACATTTTACAGTTTTTAACTTTAATAATGATTAATTTTATTAAATTGTTTGTATCTTTAATTTTCAATTACTGTACCTGAATACTGTCAGACTCGGAAAACAACAAAATTCTGTTTATTTCAATTGTATTGTATTCTTTGTTGTATTTATCTATGCTTGTAGATTATTTATTATAGTTTATGCATGATTGGCTCCCCTACAGAATCATCCCAATCAATCTAAATAATAAATTCTTTCCAAATATAGATAGTCATCTGGTAAAACTGTATTCACATCGCAATATACAGAAACAAAGAGAAAGCACAGCAGCTGCTCAATGAAACATTTTCATACTGGCTGCAAAACCTGGGAAAAAGTGATGAAACATGATTCAATCCCATGAGTCAGCTGGGCAGGAACAGGTCGGAGAACACTGAAAACTCAGGATGAGACTTCATGGAAATGAGCTCTTAATGTTGGCTCTTTAAAAACTCTGCTAAATGTGTTTAAAAAAAAAAATAATAAAATAATAATTCTGCATTTTGCGAATGTCTTTCACTGTGACCTGAAATAAGTTGCTATGAATGTGATTATGTAGGTTTATATTAGAGTAATTCAACAATGGATTTGCATGTTAAAGGTTGTATCTTATATAGGTTAAAGGTCATGTGATGTGTTTTAATAAGTAAACTGTTTTCGTAAATTACAAAAAATAAATAAATAACTAAATGATGCATCTATAAAATATATGAACCTTGGGTTAAACTTTAAAATCTATATTAAAAGAAAATGGAGAATAATTTTATGTAATAAAAAAAATATTGTAAGTAAAACCATATAAATTAATAAAATAATTAAACCTACATTTAATTTTTTAAATTATAAAACTTAATTATATAAATGAAGGTAAAGATAGATAGAAGAATGGATGGATGGATGGATGGATAGAAAGATAGATAGAAAGATAGATAGAAAGAAGGATGGCTGGATAGAAAGATAGATAGAAGGATGGATGGATGGAAAGATAGATAGAAAAATGGATGGATGGATAGAAAGATAGAAGGATGGATGGATGGATGGATGGATGGATAGAAAGATAGATAGAAGGATGGATGGATGGATAGAAAGATAGAAGGATGGATGGATGGATGGATGGATAGAAAGATAGATAGAAGGATGGATGGATAGAAAGATAGATAGAAAGAAGGATGGATGGATGGAAAGATAGATAGAAGGATGGATGGATGGATGGATAGATATATAGATAGATAGAAGGATGGATGGATAGAAAGATAGACAGAAAGAAGGATGGATGGATGGAAAGATAGATAGAAGGATGGATGGATAGAAAGATAGATAGAGGGATGGATGATGGATGGATGGATAGAAAGATAGATAGAAAGAAGGATGGCTGGATAGAAAGATAGAAGGATGGATGGATAGACCGATAGATAGAAGGATGGATGGATGGATAGAAAGATAGATAGCAAGAATGCACGGATAGAAAGCATAGATAGAGGGATGGATGATGGATGGATGGATGGATAGAAAGATAGATAGAAAGGCTGGATGGATAGAAAGATAGAAGGATGGATGGATAGAAAGATAGATACACGGATGGATGGATGGAAAGATACATAGAAGGATGCATAGAACGATAGATAGAGGGATGGATGATAGATGGATAGAAAGATACATAGACAGAAGGATGGATGGATAGAAAGATAGATAGAAGGATGGATGGATGGAAAGATAGATAGAAGGATGGATAGAAAGATAGATAGAGGGATGGATGATGGATGGATGGATAAATAGATAGATAGAAAGAAGGATGGATGGATAGAAAGATAGAAGGATGGATGGATAAAAAGATAGATAGAAGGATGGATGGATGGATAGAAAGATAGATAGAAAGAAAGATGGATGGATAGAAATATAGATAGACGGATGGATGGATGGATAGATAGAAGGATAGATGGATAGAAAGATAGATAGAAAAATTGATGGATGGATAGAAAGATAAAAGGATGGATGCATGGATAGAAAGATAGAAGGATGGATGGATGGATAGAAAGATGGATGGATAAAAATATAGAAAGAACGATGGATGGATGGATAGATGGATGGATGGATGGATGGATAGATAGATAGATAGAGAATGGATGAATGGATGGATGGATGGATAGTCATATTCCTGTCCATCAGAACTTTATCTACAAAAAAAAATCTGAATTGTCTCTCATTAAATGATTCATTCCTCATTTCTCCACGACCAGCACTAACAGCAGCACCACCCCTCTATACACCCCTCAGACACAAACACATCTCTGAATCTGTGTTCACTGTATGCTAACGCTCAGTCTGATCACAACACTGACCCTCAGTTATTCAGATGATGATTGACTTCTGTGAAAACACACGTCCAAACAGACCAGCAGAGCAAGGGTTTAACAGCAACTAAAACACACCCTAAGTGCCGGAAGCTGCACTGAAGGAAAATATCTGCTAATGACCAGTTTCTGTATTTAGTGATTCACAAGAAGTAGATCTCTGCTCTATCCACTTTTGATTTTGAAAATTCAACTTTATAGTTTAACAAAGCAACTATTACAAATGTTAGTAGTTTGAAATAATAATGTACAGTAACGTATAATAAATATTATCTAGAGAAGTCTGTCAAATAACAGAAAATGTTCTGGCAGTTTAATGCATGGTTTCTGAAGTGCCCACACAATATAGCACTGCAAACTATTACACATGTCAAGAAATCTCACTTTCAAACTTTTCAACATCAAAAGTTGTTGAAAGAAAGATTAAAGTCTCATAATGCAATTCAAAACCATAAATAAATCATAATAATTACAATACAAAAAAACGTAAATCACAACATATTTTTACAGTGCAGGAAAATATACTATATACAATATTATACACTGTAAACCCTAATGTTGTCTTTACTTAAACACTCAAGTTGTTTTAACTAAGCATAACTTAAAGTATTGCATTTTGGCACCATAACTTAATATTTGTTAGGATAACTTATTCACATTTGAAAGCCATAATCTCAACATTTCAAGTGTTTTGACCTCTACATATTGATTAATACTTGTAAAAACTCAATTTTTGATACTCTTTTATTTGATTGGCCATGCAATGAGTTCTGCCTGGCAACACTAATGCTCTGATTGGTGTAATTCAAAAAATAAAAAAGTCAAAGGTCTAACAATATTTGCTCTGTTTGCTGAAGATGAGACAACTTAATACTTTAAGTATAACCTATACCGGAGAGACGGACGGACAAAATAACAACAAAATAACAGTACAAAAAATAACAAAAAGCATCAGTGTGTGGACTTAAAAATACAAAACAACTCCATTAGTGAGTAAAACATGAGTTATCAACCCAATTTCGTTGGGTTGCTACAAGTTAAATATTGTTTTAAAGTAACTGACAGATATATTTACCTTTAAATTAGCCGCATTTTAAAATTGTGTTGAAAACTTAATAAAGTTATTCTGGCTACTTAAAAGTTTTAATCTAATCAGCATATTAGAATTTTTAAGTAACAATAGTGTATTAAACTATGTAGTGGTAACAGACCTCTTGAGTTATTTTTTAGAGTGTACTTACTTATTTATAACAACAAAATATTTACAGTACAATTAAAACAGAATACAGTCTCTACAAACTATAGTTCATTTTAGAACAATAAGGGAATTATGAATTAAATATATAAAAAATGTATGAGAAAAATAAGGGGAAACGAGAGGGTAATATAAACAAAAACGAATAGGCGTATCAAATTCAAAGCAATAAGCACAAATGTTAGGAGTTTAAACACCCCTCTTTAGGCTAATACTTGAATATGAAGGGGTTTACATTTATTTACATTTATAGATATAAAACTTTTCATTATATATTAGTGTAAAACCCAAAACAATGTGTTTTGATTAAGTCTTAAACAATGATTGAGATTATTCTGGATGATGAAAGCATTTTCAGAAAAGCACTTTAATCCAAAACGATTGATCAAGAAAAGATTCCTAAAATAAGTGAGCTTTAAGTGGAAGTTTCCCCAGAGCAGGTACATCAATGTCACTTTTACAACTTGTGTATAAACACCTAGACAGGAAATAAAAATATATATTGTATAATTATATAAATCATTTTATAATTATTTAATAAAATAGTTATTTAACTTGGGTATGAAACCTTTAGGATGGCAGGATCAATGATGATAATTTATTTTATATCAAGTCTGTAAGACTTATTTGAGTTAATATTTAGGTTATTTACTAAAATGTATCATTTAAATCATTCATGGAGCTGAATGCAGCAAATAGTCTGTATAAAAAGGCAGAAAATAAACCTGTGCAAACAATCTAGCCTTTATAACCAGATTATTCAAAGATGATACTGCAGTAAAATATCTGTAGTCTTTTAATAGGCATAATGTGTACAAAATAGAGATGGTATGAAAAGTGAATTGTTTGTTTTGAAATTTGTGAATTGGAAGTTGTTCAATAATAAACCCGAAACACACGTGGTTGTTGTCAGGCGATGAACTTGGCCAATTGTATAATATCGGTGTCGTCATCGTAGCTCCAGCAGTCGATCTTCAGATGCTGCACTGGCTGAATCAGTCGTCTGATCTCGGAGCACTGTCGTGGTACTTTGATGCCACATGTAACAGTCACGTGGCGTCAGCACAGCATCAATCCGGACAAAATTTCTAACCAGCATGCACCGCTTTCTTCAGTGATGCATGAAGTCAAACGCGCCTATTTTGAATCTGATTGGCTGTTGCCATTTTCCTCTCTCATCTCAACTCCGCCCGTAAGTGTTTATTATTTTAGCCCTAGCCAATAATGGATGGATAGAAAGATAGAAAGAAGGATGGATGGATAGAAAGATAGATAGAAAGAAGGATGGATGGGTAGAAATATAGATAGACGGATGGATGGATAGATAGAAGGATAGATGGATAGAAAGATAGATAGAAAAATTGATGAATGGATAGAAAGATAAAAGGATGGATAGATGGATAGAAAGATAGAAGGATGGATGGATAAAAATATAGAAAGAACGATGGATGGATGGATGGATGGATGGATGGATAGAAAGATAGATAGAAGGATGAATGGATAGATATATAGATAGATAGAAGGATGGATGGATAGAAAGATAGATAGAAAGAAGGATGGATGGATGGATAGAAAGATAGATAGAAGGATGGATGGATGGATGGATAGATATAGATAGATAGAAGGATGGATAGAAAGATAGATAGATAGAAGGATAGATGGATAGAAAGATAGATAGAGGGATGGATGATGGATGGATGGATAGAAAGAAGGATGGCTGGATAGAAAGATAGAAGGATGGATGGTTAGAAAGATAGAAGGATGGATGGATAGAAAGATAGATAGAAGGATGGATGGATGGATGGATGGATAGAAAGATAGATAGAAGGATGGATGGATAGAAAGATAGAAGGATGGATGGATAGAAAGATAGATAGAAGGATGGATGGATGGATGGATGGATGGATGGATAGAAAGATAGATAGAAGGATGGATGGATAGAAAGATAGATAGAGGGATGGATGATGGATGGATGGATAAATAGATAGATAGAAAGAAGGATGGATGGATAGAAAGATAGATAGAAGGATGGATGGATGGATAGAAAGATAGATAGAAAGAAGGATGGATGGATGGATAGAAATATAGATAGACGGATGGATGGATAGATAGATAGAAGGATAGATGGATAGAAAGATAGATAGAAAAATTGATGAATGGATAGAAAGATAAAAGGATGGATGGATGGATAGAAAGATAGCAGAACAGCACCTGCTGGTGGGCAGGGCTAAAGACAGTATGGTCAGATTGGTCACATTTGTATCTATGTATGTATGTATGCATGTATGTATATATGTATGTATGAATGCATGCATGCATGCATGCATGCAACACACAAATGCTTGCATAAAATAAATCTAATTTAACACTCTTCTCTGCCATATGGACATATTTTTATAGCAATAATGATGCCCTAATCTGGACAATTTAAATGTTAATAAAGTGACAGAAGAGCCAGCAATATTCAAATTTGTACTTCCTAGAGGAAACAGACAAGCTTTGAATGATATTCTGAAACTATGCAAATGTTATAATGCATTATCACTGTAGACCGCAGAACATTTGATCAATGGAAATGGCGCTTTGGACAAACTTCACCAGTATGAAGTTACTAAAGACAGACTGCATTTTAAAGTCAACATTAAACAACTATTTTACTTCTAAATAAAACAATGTTGTACAAACCGGGCCTGATTTTACCAATCAGGATGAATGGACAGCAAATCTGTCAGTAAAACTGTATTTTAAGTCACAATTCACACCATTTACTACTGGTTTATCTGCCTATTATTAAGATATTAATTGTTTAATAGCACTTATAAAGAATGATCTTATTTTACATCCCTAATTAAATACCTAAAATCAACCACTACCTTAATAACTATTAATAATCCGCTAACTAATTAGCAGTTTGAGCTAAAAGTCTTAATTAATGGTTTGTTAATAGTGTGAATTGTGACTAAATAAATGGTAACAGTTCACAAATAAGGTTGCATTAGGTAATGCATTTACTAACATGAGTAAACAACAGATTTATTACAGTATTTGTTCACTTTAGTTAATGAAAATACCGTCATTTATTGTTAGTTCATGTTAACTCACAGTGCATTAACTCATTATCAAGCATGCATTCAGATGTTAACAATGCATTAGTAAATGTTAAACTCTGATTAATAAATGCTGTACAAGTATTGCTCATTAATAGTTAATGTTAGTAAATATATCAACTAATGAAAGCCTATATTTGTAGAAGAAATTTCAGAGGTGGAGAAAGATATTTAGACAAACAAAATTATATACATAAATTAATTTCATAGGGCAGGATCTAAATGTTACCTGTGATGTTTTTCCGCTCTGATTTTTCAGATTTGACCCGTGTGGAGTCTGAGTTTCTCCGTCTGTCACCTGTCTGAAGCTGCTTCTTGTTTTCCAGCGTCTCCAGCTGAAGCTGACTGGTGTATTTTTCATGCTGTAACACAGAAAACATAGTCACACTTTACTATAAGGTTTCATTAATGTATTTATAAACATTAAACACTAAGAATGAACAATGCATGTACAACATTTATTAATCATAGTTCAACATTTACTAATGCATTATTAAAATCAGAATGCATGCTTGTTAACATTAGTTAATGCACTGTGAGGTAACGAAGTAACAATATACTATTTTCATTCATTAATGTTAACTAACATGAAAGAATACTGTAAATGTATTGTTCATTGTTTATTGTTATTAAATGCATTAACTAACATTAACTAATCCAAGCTCATTGTAAAGTGTTACAGAAAACATTTAAAATAAAAAGCAATCCCTCAACACATTTAACTGTAACTCACTGTACAATTAAACCTGCAATAAATTAACAATTTGCAATTGTTTAAAACTTAGATTGTATATAATGCCACTGTAATGCTGCTGATTAAAATTAAAATTAAAGCTTCAATTTTTATAAATTAAAAAGCATTTAATGTGCCAAAAATAAGAGATCTGTTTACATTAGTTTATTATTATTATTATTATTTGTATTAGTTATTTATTTGACTAGGATAAATATAAAACAAAACAACTTGTAATTGTACTTCAAAACAAAAGTAAACTTTAACTGATATAAATAAATATATACAAAAGTTGGTGACGCAGTGGCACAGTAGGTAGTGCTGCCGCATCACAGCAAGATGGTCGCTAGTTCGAGCCTCAGCTGGGTCAGTTGGTGTTTCTGTGTGGAGTTTGCATGTTCTCCCTGCGCTCGCATGGGTTTCCTCCGGGTACTCCGGTTTCCCCCACAGTCCAAACACATGTGGTGCAGGTGAATTGGGTAGGCTAAATTGTCTGTAGTGTATGTGTGTGAATAAGTGTGAATGGATGTTTCCCAGAGATGAGTTGAAGCTGGAAGGGCATCCGCTTCGTAAAATATGTGCTGGATAAGTTGGTGGTTCATTTTGCTGTGGCGATCCCGGATTAATAAAAGGACTAAGCCGAAAAGAAAATGAATGTAAGCTAATTTATTTTCACTAATTGAAAAACAAATGGTTAATTTTTTTTTACATTTTAATTTAGCAAAAATGTATGTTCTAAAAAAACCAAAAAATTTAACATATACAAAAATAATTGTTTGTTTAAAATGGGCATATTTAATGCGAGGAAAAAAACTGGCTAATAATACACACTACAATTACAATAAACTAAATTATTTTACAAAATATAGAAATAAAACTGATTAAATTATCAAATTTATGCTTCAGCAATTTTATTAAATGCCTTTTTTTTTACTTTAGTTACATTCTTAATAAAATTAGTTCATATCAACATTTACTACTCTTTCATTAAGATCAAAACTCGTATGAGTTTTATCATATAAAAAAAACAGCTAACTTACTAACAAATATGAATATGGCAAAAAAAGGCTTTCCTGGTTTTAGATAATGCTCTTTAGATAATTTGGGACTCAATTATAGATCAATATGAGCCATCTCTCAGATCTAGTCAATTGAAGTAATCTTTATTTCTATACGTTTTTACAATGAAGAAAAGAGTGTCTACTGTACCTTGAGAGCCTCCTCAGGCACTTTGTGTTGGCTTCTCTCCAGGATATATATGTGTGAATGTGTGAACAGTCAAGAAAAAATACAATCTACAACATCATGAGAAGTGTTTTCAGCTCTGAGTTCTGTTCTATGCTTGTATGTAGGGTTGTAACGGTATGAATTTTTTACGGTATGATAATCGTCTAAAACAATACCACGGTTTCACGGTTTCACGGTATACGGTATTAAATAGTAATTCTCATAGCAAAGACCCTGAAAAGATTAAGAACACGTTTTCTGACAGAACAAAGGTTTTATTTCAACAAACTTTTGAAAGAACCATTTTAATAGAACTATAGAAGTCTTTTATAAAAATAAACTGAAAAATCTCCCATTTTAATAAATTAAATTAGAAGGAATAAACAAGCAGGGTCTTTTAAGATTAGACAAAAATAAACTTAAACTGTCCTTCCTTATAAGCAGGATAAATGGAAGACCAAAAGTGCAATACCAAGTTTATGGCTGTAAACATGTATTTAAAGCGTTGTTTTTTTTTTCAGTCAAGGTTGTGATAAAGAAATGTAAGCATGTTGAGATTTTCAGGACTTAATCTTGACCGCTGAGGTGAGAGAATGTGTCCACTTGTACAATGAACAAATAAAAAAATAAGAAATAATGTGTCAAAGTCCAAATAAACATGGTGCAAATCCTCAGTAAAAAAAAGATATAAATATTTACTATCCTATAAATAGTTACATAACGAAACTAGATTCAATATGGAACATCCTTAGGTTTTATGTGCTAGCATGGATATGGTTGTCTGTGGATATGGATTTGGATATGGTTGTCTGCAATGCAGACAAACAGCTGCACCTTCATTTGCGTCTTTTGAAAACAGCAAGAGCAGCAGTTCGTCTTTGCTGCGTCACTGTTTTGTCATGTTTCTGTGCTGCTGTGCATGCAAAAGTACTTAGTATGAGAATTATTTCATGCAAAACTTTTTTTTTTTTGGCGTTTTATTTAGCCGCGCAGAAATGTATGCCTATCTCTCATTCCGTGTTGTTCAAAAAGCTCAGTGTTGGTCCACAAACAAAAGCGAAACCTATGCTTATTGGTTGTGATATAGCGAGTTTGAACCAATCTGGGCATGGAGGAGGGACAATGCATCAATGTATCATGTCTGGTTTGTCCGGACACACAGTGACGAGCGTTTCTTTGTCATATCAGCGTTGTCAAATTTTGATGACGTAACCGCACTGATTCCGGAGCCTCTGGAAGTCCGCGAATGTTATGTGATACAGCACTGGAAAGCTGATTCTCTTCTTTATGCCAAACTTTGAATTGTATGAATCGGATCAGCGGATCAAAAGTTATTAAACATTTAAGAGCAATACTTATTTTTAGCCGCGGGCGGCTGTCTCGTTCTTTAAGG